AAAACCTTATCAGCTTTATTAGTGTTGAACTCTGTGGCTTCCACTGGGGCTGACACACTTAATTAAAGATGCTCTGGTCTAATTAGGTTGCACATCAAAAATACAAATACAAGTTGGATTTTTTAAAGACCTGTCTGAGCTCCAATTCCCAACGTTGTGAATATTTATTTTATTCAGTTAGTCTCCACCTAGACCAAATGTTGTTAGGTTAGCTAACACAAAATTCAGGGATTGGAGTATTTAGATTTCTTGCATGGAATGAGGCTGGCTCAGATCCTGAATGTCTATATATCTGAGGCAGACAAGTGCAGGCAAGAGAGAAAGACAACTTTATTTTGAATTTTAAATAATTATCTGATTCTATTTGACTGGCTTAATTCTATTGGTGACTAGCTCATGAAGAAATCCATGGCCTTCATTTGTTTTACTACCTGTGGGATTGATTCCCCCGTGGGTCCAGTCCAACCTCCATGGAGGTCAGTGGGACAACTGCCATTGATTCAAGGGAGGATGGTTCAGAATCAATGGGAATGCTGCGTGTCACAATGGGGTGTGTTCCTTCCTTCTACCATCTCCTGTGTTTTAAAAATGGAATTCTCCTTCTGTCAAATTGGGCAGACCTGTCATATGATTTTCTCTGTAGGCAAGGTTGAGCATGGAACTCTGAATTCTTTCCCTCTTTTTTCTGTATATAGTTCTTTTTTGATTGATAAGGAACTCTGGAACTTGTCAGCCATTTGCTGCATTTTTAAGAGTTTTTTTTTTCTTTAATTTGTAAATTTGTAATTTTCCTTTATGCAAGTTGCAGCTTCTTCTGACATCAGTGACTTCTTGTGATCTTGTGTCAGGACAGCCTCAGGTTCACCTTCCATCTACCAGCAATAATTTTCATTCCTGGTGATAGCATTTGTCAATCCTAAATCACCATGAACAAAATGCTGCTATTTCTAATGCCTAACCAGATAATTATTGCTCAGCCAAACACATATTGGCTGGAAACAGGTATGATGTGAGAGCATTTCTAAACATTTTTGTTAATGGAAAATGGAAGACCATACATAGCCTTTCAGAATCCATCATTGATTTCTGGTCCTGTTTTGGTAGCTTGAAATCTTAAGTGACACGTGGACCTCCCTCAGTGACAGATGTGGGAGAGATCAGCAGCATGAGGCCTGTGGCTCTGGTTGATTTTACTCAGTTTGTGAAGCTTGGATCAATGTGTTGGCAAATGGACACCTAAAAAGAGCTGGGTGGCCACAGTGCTAAGTCTGGCCTCATTTACAACTGTGAACACAGCAATATTTCCCAAATATTATCCCTGTCACATCCTATTGTGGAGGTGTTTTGCTTTTGCACATTCAGTGTTAACATTAATTTTTTAGCCTGGGCTCTTTCTGGTCTGCCTTTTGCAGTTTGCTGCAGCAGGATTGGTTGCTGGAACAGGATAGTGGAGTAATGTAAAACTGTTTTTTGAGAAAGGAGACAGACAATTCTGATTTATTGAGAGTGACTTAGTGCTAAATGGAGTGCAACTCCAGCCTTGAGCTATTTTGGCTTTGTTTCCTGCTTTGCTCATGGTATGTGTGCATCTGAGTGTGTACATCCCTACGAATCCAGATCCCACCCTGGAGCTGAGGAAAGCAGCTCAGTCTCCTTGCTCAAACACTGAGCCACCCAGAGACAGCTGAGTGCCCTCAGTAGATGTGATGCCTCAGTGGCTGAGCTACTCTTTTCAATAATTTCTGCTGAACAAACCTGCAGTACTGACACAAACTGTCCCCACATTCTGTGCCCTGTGACTGAGAGCAGTTTCAGGATCCACATTCTGCATTATCTGCCTGACTCAGGACATAAATCCAGCTGCAGTAGGTGCTCCAAGGCAGTGTGACACGGGAGGTGCATTCCTGCCAGGAGCCATCCTGTGGAGACACTGGAGAGCATCATCAGCCTGCCAAGGGCTTACCTGTGTGGGCAGGGGGTGGCACTGCCAACGTGGTCACCCCTGCAGCTTTCAAGATCCTCTTTGCTTGGAGACCAGGCTCATGATTTTATTTATCTCAAGCTGGATAGTACTGAATGCCAAGCAGCTGCAATCAGTGCTGTGATTTGCTGCTTCTCGCGGTGTTCTGCTGTTTTCAGGTTCTTGAGAGAGGAAAGGTTTGGTGCATAAATTGTGAGCCATGACAGGGAGTGTGGCCTTGCGTGTTTTACTGTTGGCATCAGCCATCTCAGAATGGAGTGGCAGCTTTATCAGGGAATATCCAGCATTTTTTTTCAGATGAAGTTAGACATTTAGGAATAGATGCACCTCTTTCTACTTTCTGAACATACATTTTCTTATGGCACCTTACGGAGCTCATTTTAAACCCTGCTTCAGGGCAAAAATATTTATGGCATACTTTAAATAAAACATATTATGTGTTTTGTACAAACATATGTATCATTGTCCCCCTTGCTGGAGCTGATATAATTTCTGACACCAAGTGCTGTGCCTCATGCAAAATTCATGACATGTCATTGAATAAGAATGAATGTTCCTTTAAAATACAAGCTTTCCAGCCATGATAACCACTTAGTTTTCAGTTTCAGGAACCAAAATCCTTCCTTGCTGTGACTGTTTGAGTGAAACACAGTGTCAGTGAGTGGCAGCTTCAGAGTCTGGTGGCAGGTTGAGCATGGTTTTCTCCTGCAGATGGTTCTTTTTTACTTCTAAGTCAATGGCATTTGTTGATCTATATTGAAGATAAATCATCCCTTAGAGTAGCAATGGTCAGTGAATGCTTGTCTCACTTGTGGATATATAAGAATCCCATTATTAAAAAGCTTTCAATACTGAAACTCTTAATTTCTAATTCTTATTTATAAAGAGAGGAAAAAAATAGTTCTGCCAACAACATACATGTGGTGGAAAATTACCATAAAATCATAATGTGCTGCTGCAGGGTGTTACAGGCATAAATTAAAGACTGAATTAAGACTGAGGGGAGACTCATCACAGTTACACCTTCCTTGCTGAAGGGAAGAAGAAGGGCAGGCCCTGATCTCTGCTCTGTAGGACAGGGCTGAGGGAATGGGCTGAAGTTGTGTCAGAGGAGGTTTTGGTTGGATGTTAGATAAAGATTCTTCTCCCAGTGAATGCTGGGGCACTGAACAGGCTCCCCAGGAAATTGTCAGGGCCCCAAGGGTGCCTGAGCTCCAGGAGTGTGGACAACACTCCCACGGACAGGGTGGGATTGGGGTTGGACCAGGAATTGGACTCAATGACCTTATGTGTCCCTTCCAACTCAGTATTTTCTGTGATTTTGTAAATCTGCTTTGCCCTTAGCACTCTTCAAGCAGTAGAAGTGGTCCTCAACCTCAAGGATGAACAAAATGAACAAATAAAAAAGCACAAAGATAGTGGAGAAATAAATGCTGAATTGAGAGGGAGAAAAAGACCCAACAAAACAAACAACAAAGCCCAGTGTTTTGGACGGGTCGAGGAGAAGAGCAGTGCCAGGCAGTGTGTTCTGGAAAGAACCTGTGCTGGCCTGGGCTCCTCTGCTCACTCTCCAAAGGCAGCAGCCTCTGCTGCGAGGTGATGCTGGTCACTCTTGTATCTGTGGAGCCAAGGAGCAGCTTAGGAGTTCATTCTGTCAGCTCCTCAGCAGCTTCATCTCTGCTGCTGTGGTGGAGGTGCTGGAGAGTCGCCCTTAGAGGTGACTTCAAGGCCACAGAACAACATGATTACATTTTGAACAGCTCAGGGGGTGATTAAAGCTTAACTTTAAAAAGGAAATATGAGTTAAAAATTAAAGATTGGAAAATCAAGACTAAGTTTAAAATAAAAGCACTGTTCTTGCCCCTTCCTGGCCTAGCTGTGCCATTCACAGAGTGTGATTTGTGGTGCTTGAAGATGCCTGGGACATGGATTTTTGCAGGGAAAAAATTGGCTTTTTCTGTGGCTGAGGAGCAGGCTGGCTGGCACTGTGCATCCATGGTGATTTCTAAGGCCATGTGTTGTATCACTTTGAAGGCCCAGTACTGTGACAACTCCTGCCCCTTCAAACCACTCTGGGGTGTTGGTGAGACACAGCAAAGCCTATTGAGTGCCATTAGCTGTAAAGGCTGAGAGTGTTGTCTCTCACATGAGCAGCAACATCATCTCCTTGTGCAGAAAATCACTGCTCTGACACACCTGGCTCCATCTCCCTGCCATTAAACCCATTAATACAACAAATGGCATTTTATAATAAATACCTGTCATTTCCATGATTTTAACTGGTCTTTTGATTTGTTTCCCATTTTATGTTGTTTAGACAGACTGATTTAGACAGTTAAAAATCCACTTAACCATGATACATTGTGGCTGCCTGACAGACAATAACATTGATATATATGACTAGATGAGTCTCTAATTAGATTTTGGCAGCACTGTCACAGTCAGGGAAAGTTTCCACAAGTACTCCATTGAAATGTTATTTTATGCAACCTCATGGAACTAAGGCCATTTTTAATTAAGCAGGTCTCCTCAAAAAGATGTTAAACTTAATGTCATTTTTTTAAGTGGCCTCTGCCCTTGCAGTGTCTGTCTTCTCAAATATACTCTTTGGTAGCATGACTTAAAATACATATTGAAAAAAGTACATAAAGCAGACAAAAATAGGTTAAAAAAAGTGAATCTTGCCCTGGATGTTATATTTAAAATTAGTTGTAAACATGGAAGAAACAGTAATTTGATAAATTATCACTGTTCTTTATATAGGAAAGGAAAAATGTAGAATCAGGGACTGATTATGTGATTATATAATAATATTAATATTCTGTAAATCTCAGCTTTTATGAACACTTCAAAGTAACTATAGAACAGAAAAGACTATTAAGCAAATGGGAAACCTATTTCCAATTACACCTCTCTAAAATACTTCAGGTGGATACCAGTGCAATATAAATGTGATATAAGTGCATAGAGCTATGCTGCAATTAATGGAGATGCACATCATCTTTCTTCTGTCCTCCAGACCTGCCCTGGGCTGGGAGTTGGAGTCTGCATCCCTTGACTTCACACTTGCCATGGCTGCTGCAAATGAAAGATGTGAAAGGGGTGATCAGGTTTTCTCTTCTGGAGCTGGGCTCTTGGTGAGGTTTCACCGTGATTGTAGAGAGCAGAGCACAAGATCTGGAGTGTAACCTGGGAGTGTCCAACTCACCCACTGACAGACAAGTTAAAGAAAAGATTTTCCTATGGATGCTCACAGCTCAGGGAAAACCAAACCATAAATGTACTTATGTATCCTGATATTTAATGAATAGAGATCCCTTTGTTCCTAAGTAGATGTTGAGACATCTCTAATGATGCTGTTGGAGTTGTGTGGATTTCTCTATGTGAAGAAAAAAAAATGAGTGGGAGGAGAGTGGTACTGTGGGAAGGGCCAGGATGTCTGGAGTATATTGAATGTTTTCCAATTGCATCAATTTCAATGGCAGCAGGACTTTTTTTTTTTTGTTGATTCTATAGCAATGAATCCTCTAATAAGCAAAACAAGGGCTGTTGGACAGTCATTGATGTCTTCTGCAATTTTGATTGAATGTTTTCCAATTGCATCACTTTCAATGGCAGCAGGACTTTTTTTTTTTTTCTGTTGATTCTATAGCGATGAATCCTCTAATAAGCAAAACAAGGGCTGTTGGACAGTCATTGATGTCTTCTGCAATTTTGTCATTAATTGCAAGAAGTGCAGAATTTGACCTGGTTTTCTCTATACATATCACTGAGGAGGTCAGTCTGTGCATTTGCCTATGCAAAAAGGTTACTGGAATAATTTCAAGTGTGAAGGCAGAATGTGTCATACCAATGTCCTGTGTGGGTACACGGTGCCCTTTAAAGCAGAGTCAGTTTGTGGCTCATTTTCATACAAAAATAATACATGTGAAAATACAACTGGCAATTTCCTGTTCTCACTCCATGTGTATTAATTTCAAAAGTGAATGGCAACTGCAGTATTTGAGAAGACTTGCTCCTCTCTCATACCAATTCTGTACAAAACTATCTTTTTTCCATATATTTTTGAAGAAATGAAGTGTAGTAAACTGAGAAAACAGATTAATTTATTTGCAGAAGTAAGTTCTGTGGACCCTACAACATGGTGATCAACTAAAATACTAAATATCCTAGAACTGCAATAAAAAGGTAACTGCTTACCTCTGCTTGACCCTTTGATTTGTGAGACAGACTTGGTTGGGATCAGCTTGTAACACCCAAGGAAATAGCAGCTTTCCATGCATGAGTTTTAAGGGAGAGCATTTGGCACCTACTGACTTAGTGCTGTCATGGTAAGCCTTGCCAGAAAAAAAAATACAACACCAGTGCCGTTTCAGGTGACCATTTCTGGGATGTTTAGCTCATGTTCTAGTCGCCCCTTTCTGTCTCCTCCTTGAGCTCTAAATTTATTTCCTTTGGTATTTAAGTCCTGTTTCAGGGCAGGAGCTTAATTTTCCTCAATAACCCCAATTTGCCTTTAACAGTAGATCTGATATCTTCTCTACTGATGGAAAAGATAGGAGGCTGTTAGCACTGGTATATTTATATTGTGCTAATGGATTTTAACTCTCTTACTGAGCTGTGCTGATGGTTTAAAATAATGACTAGGCAATAAATTTTTACTGAGACAGGTGTACAAATAGTACCCAAACGAGAGTGGTGCTCAGGGTCAGTCTATGAAAAGAATGGTGTTCCAAATTATAGTGCAAGATGAAACTGTTTCATATGCTGGTAAATCCTGACGACACATGGTTTTAGCTTGAGCCACCAAGACTTATTTGCTATCATTAACAAGATGCACATGTATCCAATACTCAGATATATCTGAGTCAGAGTCGTCTTGGCTTCTGTTTCAGAGCTATTCATCCAAAGGGAGCGGGAGTGTCCCTACCACCCATGGACTCCAGTGGAAACCAAAGCTGCACCCAGGAAAATCCTGGTCTTGTACTGTTTGTTACAGCCCTCTGCTATTTCCAAAACCTCCATGTGACTCCTGGAATTCCTACTGTGGCTGTACCAGATGTGGATAGTGGAAAAACAATTAATGAATCCTGACTTCAGTACAGGACAGCATAACCAACTTGTGCTAACTATGTCTTACTGTTATTTGGTCGCAATGTTTTTTTTCCACAGTGAAGACATTTTTCATAAATACTTTCTTGCTAGAAAATTTTAAAAAACATAAACAAGTTTTGTTTTACATTATTTCTATTTTCAGCTCCACACTTGAGTTTTCTTACTAGAAAAAGTCAGGGTTTGTTTTCACAGTTTAAAAAATATCTGCACTAAACCGGCTCCGATATTCACACTTCAGCATCTGCTTTCCAACAAATCACACTATTTATTTTTGAATAAATGAATAAAGAATGTGGAGCAGGAAGTGCAAACTGAGTAACTTTAAATGAGATGTAAAAAACCCCATGATTTAAAGTATGACCAAATGGGTAGATCCTTTTGACCTAAGTGGTTCATCATCTGTTTAAATCACTTACCAAGCTTCAGTGACATTTCTGTACCTGGATAATACTCTGCTGGCATTTACTAGGTTCATGCTACATGAAATTTGAAGAATCCAGGAACATTTGTTTGTTAAACAGACAAAGGTTTTGAGTTCTGTAGTCAAATGGGAGCTATTACAACCCTGCTAACGTTGATGCAATCAAAATGTTGTGTGCCCCTGCTGAAGGGAGCAGCGTCACTGCAAAGGCTGTGTGCTTCAGTGGTACTCTTAAATACCAGTATAGCTCACACTTTTCCCCCTCAGGACACCAGGCTTGTGAGATAATAAATACAGCACTTCAGAATGCAATAAAACACTCATCAGCTGTCAAGTGTAGGATTCACCTACCCCATGTTCTACTGCGGATTTATGCCATCTGATTTGGAGGAGCAATTAAAAATTCTCAAGCCAGCAGTCAAATAGTTTTATTCTGTACTTAGTTGGCGTAGAGTCTGAGATATTCTACCTATGGAAAATATGTCAGTCTGGCAAAATATGTAGTTTACCTCTTGGTAGTGCTTGTATGTCCTTCCAGGTATCTCTTTTTGTTTGCTCTGTTATTGCTGTACAATTGTGGACATCGCATGACTGGTGTTTGAATTGGTTATAATGTTTTCCTTCTTCTGGTTAAACTTTAGGGAGAAGTGGCTGTTCAAGGTCTTAGATTTTAAATGAACTGGGAGCTGTTTCTTCGTTCATCACTTCACACCTAAATGGCAAACTATGAGCATGGAAAAGGAAGGTAGCACAAGGGTCTTTGTTGGCAAATAGGGACATCCTTCAAATTGTAGCTTTTCTAAGAGAACTTGGCTGTTACAGAATATTGTCTGCTCAGTAATTCAGACCACTTTACCTCTCTTTTGAGCTTCTTGGTGCTCTTGTGCATGGAGGAAATGTCACTTTCTGATTTTGCAAACGGGTCTGCAGAAGAACAGGACCTGGAAAAAGCTGAGTGTCTTTATCACTTCCAGAGGGTATCCCTGTGTTACAGTTGGGTTCATAGGGCACGTGCCATGATGTGAAGATCCTGATCCCTCAGCCTCCTTTTGTTTTTTACCTTTAAGCAAGGTGTGTCTGGAGTAATTGATGATGAGTAGAACAAGTCTGTTCTAAGCAACTTCAGGTGAAAAGACACAGCCAACAAAAGAAAATATGCTTGAAATGAACTTAATGTCCTTAATCCTTCTTTCCCATCAAAGACCGATTTATTTTTTTTTTTCCTTTCAGTGGAAAACTATCTTTAGGGGAGATCAGAAGGAAGAGGAAAGAACAGAAAGGGTACAGCTGTTTTTCCCCATGGAGAACTCTTTTGAGATGGGCATGGGGTTGAACAGAAGGAAAAAATCCTGTCCTTGGAGTTGGCAAGTGTTGCCAGCGTGGTGGTCGGTGGATGTTTTCCACATGTGTACGTGAAGGCAGCAAGGATCCTGGAGCTTGTTTTTCTTCTGTGTGCAGCACAGCACGTTGGCCTAGATTTTATTGCTGTGACCTGAACTCATCTTTGTACCATGGGGGAAATACTTGCAGTGCTTTACAGATCTCAGGGACAGTCTCATTTTCTCAGCACAGAGCTAATATATCAAGCTAATTTACTGCCGTGGTGTGTTGCAAAGCCTATATAATATTGAGTAAACATTGTTGGCTTATACATTAACTGTAACTAAAACCCAGTGCAAACTTTATTCTGGCTTCAGGATTTTCCTTGAAGGAGTGACTAAGAAAAGAAGCATAGACTTTTTTTCCTTTTTTCCCCCCCTTTTTCTATTTTTGCAGCAAGGAAACTTTACTCTTAAACTAGGCAGTTCTCTTAATTCTAGGTCAAGTGGAAGGCATGGTTAGGAGCTTTCTGTGTGGCTCACTCAACTGACTCCTTTTCTTTGTCAAGATCCCTTAGTAGTGTTTAATGTGGTTTCTTTTTCCTGTGTGGTGTGCAAATATAACTGAATAAATAAGAATCTAGATGTCTGTCTGCTTGGAAACTTAGCAGAGCTGCTATGGCTTTGTATTGCTAAGGATTATAATGTTTTGGGTGATCTAAAAAAAAGGAAACCAAATACTTAGTTTGTTGAATTTATGTGGGAATCCTTCTCTGAGGATCACAATGTGCTTTACCACCAGGATTTAATTACAAAATAAAGCACTTGTGTAAGTGAACATCCTTTAAGAGAAAAGATACCACCAAGATGTTATTTTATTTTGCAAAAATCAATATTTATCTTTTTATAGGTTAAAACCATTAAAATTTGATGAAAGAAATGGTGATAATTTCCTATGGTTCTCAGGGATCCTGATGACTGAAGTTGTATCAGTATCAGACTTTTTCCCCCAGTATGTACATTTCTTAATTTTACAGTAACCATGAGTTCCATTCTGTATGGGACTTTCCCAGTTGAGTATGTGATACTCCCCAGTATCCTGGGAGAATGAAATAACATTAATCAAAAAAGTGTAAGGGCTTTATTTGTATTCAGGGCATATTGCTCTGCTGAGTAAAATTTGTTCTGGTTTAACTGTGAACAAACTTTTCAGTGGATGAGAGTTAATCTTATTGAACAGTGGTAGGAATAAAAAGAAAAACATCATCAGAGCTGGTGTTTTTCTCAAAGTGAATATTAATGTCCCCTGTTCTGTGTTTCATGATAAACTCAGTGCATTACTGGAAAAAATTCTCTCCCATAAGAAAGAGCCAAATGCCACTCCCGAGATAGATCTGACATTAGGGACAGCAGCATTTATTTGTGAAAAACAGGCCATGTGTCTTCTGCAGGAGTCAGGGTACCCCCAAATAAATCACTGAAAAGCATCCCACTCCTTTGTTTCTAACATT